ACGCATGTATGAAATTCGATCTTGTCCATTTAATCTATTTCTCTTGGTTGAAGAAATATATTAAACGTGCTTGAAACCAGAACAACTACGATTCCAGAGATCAGAAAGCCGAGAAAATAAAATCAAAGATTCAATCAAAATTACAGATCAGAGGTAAATGATCCTCAGTCAAGCAATCACCGGAACGAAGATAGCCAATTCAACTAGAATCAATATTCTTCGGAAGAAAACTCACCGCAACAACAACGATTCTTGAGATCAAAAAGCCGAGAAAATTCTTAATATTACAAAATCCAGGATTCAATTAAAATTACAGACCAGAGAGAAGTGATCCTCAATCAAGAAATCACCGCAACGGAAACACTGAATTCAATTAGAATCAAGATTCCTGAGACGATCAAAATGCCGAGAAAACACCTAATCTTACGAGATCGAAGATTAAATCAAAACTACAGACCAGAGACAAATCATATCCTCAATCAATCAAGAATCACAGCAACGACGACATCAAATTCAATCAAAAATAGGATTTAAAGACCGATACACTCACTCGGAAGGTCAAAGATGAGGGGAGCGACTCCGCGGTGGAATTCGCAGAGAAAGATGAACAAGGAAACGGCATCGTCATGCAAAGCGAAGAGATCTCCGACGAAGTCGTCGAGGAGAAAGCCGGAACGGTAGTGCTCGAAGTCATCGCCGTCGGGGAAGAAGCGGAAGGTGGTGAAGAATGCAGGCGACAGTCGAAGCGACACAACGTAGGGAAAGTGATAAGGAAAGATGACGATGGAAAATCTTTCTACAGAGCATTTGATGTCGGCTCTGGAGTAGAAGTAAGTCAGTGGCCGCAGAAATGTCCTCAGAGTAACCACTGAATCAACGTGAACCACGAACATGGCGGTGGTGCCAGACCAGGAGAAGACGACGATGGGGAAATTGGCGGGAAACTCGAAAACGAAAGTACAATGATCGCCGTTCCATTACACGTGTGAATATATATATATATATATATTTTTTTTTTTTTCTTCTTTTTCTTCAACCAATGAGTAATTGCTATCTTAACCGCTATGTTCGAATTTATAGTTGAGGGTGCATTTATGATAAATCTAAAAACAGGAGACTCGATCAAAAATAGAGTTATTTTCAATATTTGCAAATAGAAAAGTAGCAGATTGGAAAAATTGTTGATTGTGTTTAGTAATATATTTGTAAATTGCCAACTAAATAAGTAGTCTAATCTAAAATAATATTAATTTATTTATTAATATTTTTTTATAAATTTTGTATAATTATTATTTTAGAAGGTTGTATAATTTATAATAATATTACATTTTACCTGTTTTAGTTTTAATTAAAATGAAACGAGTTTATAACATGAAATAATATATTTATCCAAATTTTTTTCTTTTTTTATGTAATTCAACATTATAAAGCTTCTATTTTAAAATTTGAAAATATTAAAAAGCGTTTGAATTTCCACTTGATCATAAAATCCGAAAATAATTTTAAAAAACAAATCTGTCACACGCTGTCAAATGTATATTACTTAAAGTTTGAAAATAAGAAATAGAATCAAGATTGTCGACCAAACATCACTTAAAGTTTCATCTTTGGTTCATTGTTCTTAGTTGACAACTAAGAGAGCGAATTTTAGCATTTCCCTGCGGTGACACGAGTCTAAATTAAAAAGGTTAAAACATGAAAGACTCAATTAAAACTTTTTAAACAGTTCGCAACTAAATTAAAAATATGCTCAAAATTTAGGGACTAAAACATATATTTAATATTATTTTTTCTCTGAGTGATTCTTAATTTCTAGATAGAAAATTTTGTCTTTGGTCCGATCTTTTAAAAGTCTCCATTTTTATCGTTTGATGTACTAAAAATTTTCAATCTAAGTTAAAAAAAAGTTGCTAAAATTTTTAATAAAATTTTCTTTTTTTTAATACAACATGTAGAGGTGAAAATTTGAATTCACGATTTTTTAATTGAAGATTGGTACCTTAATTAGTTGAACTATGTTCAAGTTGACTTGTTCGCAGAAAGTTGATGTATTGTTAAGTCGTTCCATTTACATATTTGAACATGTTGAGATACTTCTAAAAGGTCGACTTGTCCATTAACAAGGGTCGATCTAGAACTAGAAATTTGGTGTTGCAAACATAAATTTAAGGTTAAATTAGATCTAAAAGTTACGTCTATTTAAACCTCTACACGTCCCTACCCATTAATACTCTTGTTATAAGTTCAATAAGTAAATAAACATAACCTGTCAAAGTTCTAGGACTCAATTTATAATTTGACCTAAATCGTTAAATTAAATAACTAAAAGAACAACTATCAGTTAATTTATTTAAGAACGAAGTAAGAAGTGATATGATATATATGTGTGCATTTCTTAAACTCGTCTTCGGGTAAAAATTATGATTGTATTAACACATTCTTCAATCTTCAAAACAACAATTCCATTAGCTTCTCCGTTAAAATGAATTCCACTAACTTCTCCGTTAAAATGAAGACGAAAATGTGATGTATAGCTGACTTGAAAAATATAAAAATATTGTTTTTCTAATAATGAATTGTCAATTTTTTAATGATAATAGGACAAGATTTTGTGCCGACAAACTAAGTATTTTTTTTTTTTAATATCTCAGTCTCTCATAAGTAATTCACAAAATCTCAGCTACTGCCTACTAAAATGTTTGAAATTTCCAATACTATTATTTAGTTTTATTTAATAATTATTATTTTGCTCTCATTTCAAAGTGCAGTTTGGAATAGGAGTGACGAAGTTGTTTTCAGTTTTTAGATATAGAAAAGTATTCCCTCCAAATTTTCTTTCTTTTCTTTTCTTTATATGATTACTTAAATTCCAATATTTGTTGAATCTTGTGATTAAAACTACTTATTTTACAAGTGGGCATTCCTATATACAAATATAACTATGGACCCGTTTGATAACCTTTCAATTAAATACGAACGCTCCTCCAAGTAACTACGTAAAAAAATCAACATGGACGATGAACATGGCGAATAATGATGGCGAGAGACGAGAGTGAGGAAATTGGTGGGAAATTGCAAAGAGATTAGATTCATCACCATTCCATAACATGTGTGTGTCAAAATACACATAGTTTACTCCATGCATAGATTCATCATCATTGAGGAAGATTATTAATTATCTTACCTATGTTATGTACTAAAATTGGTAGTTTCAGTTCCATCGTGACATAACTCATTGATTATTTTTATAGACTAATCGATCTATCCAACTCAAACCGTTGTACATGATTTCGGGAATTCAAAAGGTCAAGATATCCTAGAAACATAGGATTTTCCTCAACTATAAATAAAGGAAAAAGTGTCTGTACGTTACAAAATCCTAACTTCCACTGCGTTTCTTACAAACCAATTCTGACTTAAATACTAGAGTGTTAGTAAGCACAGGAGTAATTTTTTTTGTTTCAAAAATTAAATAACAACTCTTTATTATAAGAAGATTGGTGCAAATTGGATAGTATCTCTAGGTCCAAAAAAACTTCATCAAAGGACTAACAGGCCATTAAGGCTTCAAAAGAAAAGGACTCCAATTAGTTTGGTCTCTCTCTAAAATTTGTCTGATCTCTTAAACATTTCTATCCTTTTCCAAAATTTTAATTTGTGTATATTTATATTTCTTTCTTTTTCTTCTAACATATCACTTTCTTTGTTCTCTCTAAAAAATTAATATTTTTTCTCGAACGTTTCTCGTTCTCAAATTTTAGATTTTATTACTTTTCTTTTTCTGTCTAGTTTATCTTTTCTCTAAGAAATATATCTTCAACTTTTCTCTATCTAGATGTTTTCTCGTTTAATTTTCTTTCACTTATAACTTTTCTTTCTCTTTCTATTTATTTATCTTCGGTAACTAGTATATTTTGAAACTTTTTATTGTCTAAATTTTGTTCTCATTATAATTTTTCTTTCTCTTTCTAATTTTTCTTTTTTAATTTAACATGTCTTTTGCTTTCAACTCTACTACCTCTAGAATTTTCTATTTTTTTACTTTAACTTTTCTCTCGCTAATTTATTTTTCCAACTTTTTTCTAACTCTCTAAAATTTACTTTCTCTAAAATTTCTCTTTCAAAAGTTTTTTTTATTTCTATAAACCTTTATTTTCATGTCTCTAGAAACGACAAAAATTCTCGTAGGGTCGAATCTCCACTTTAAGAACAAATAATGAATTTTCCATCATGTTTTGTCTCACATACTATTTTTAAATAATTAATATATATTTTATTAATTGTTTTACTAAATTATGAATAAATATTAATCTAATTATTTATACTAGTAAATAATAATTTTTTAGAAAAATAATATAAATTATATATCTTTATTGTTTTTTATTTTTTAAATTCTAAAAATAATTAGAATTAATTATTAAATCAATAATTTTTCTCTTGAAGATTCTCGCTCCCAAATGAAGATTCCTAAACCTGAACCTCGATTCCAAAATTGGAGAATATATAATTAAAAACTTCGTGGAAGAGGGCATTCCGACTCCTACCCCACACTGTTGCCATCATTTTACATATATATTTTTCTATCTCTAACATATATTTTCAATTTTCTTCTTAGTATGTACAAGCAAACGGGTACACCGAGGTTTTAAATGTCCACGTCGATGGAAATGTTGAGGATTCAATTTCATAGAAATATCGATAAAAATATCAATAAAATGTCGATGTTGATAGATATTTCTATAAAAATTAGAGAAATTAAAATCGTAAAAAATATTTAAATTAACAAATAAACATTTTTCTATTTCTAAATAAGTTAAAATGGATTAATATTAATATTATGTATATATTAGTGATATTTTGTTGATATTTTTCATATTTTATCGATTTTTTTGTACTACGATAAAAATATCGATTTACCTCTCATATTAGGTTGAACCCATGGATACATGGACATGTGGATGGGAATGTTAACGCGTCGAGTAACATTCTGCAGACTTGTATTATGCAAAATTCATCTATTTGCTCCAATTCGGGCAATTTGAACAGAATAAACAAAGAATTCTATATACATGAACAAGAAGCTAAATCCTAGTGGGAAAAATGCCTAAGTTTTATGCACAAAAGAAAGAATGCAAATCAAAGAAAACTCATTTGAGGAACTCACAGCAGCATTAGCTCTTCCAAAGTCAAAAACAGACCAGATAGCAAGATTCTAGCTCTGTACAGAAACTCAACACACTGCGGGAACTAACTGTCTTGAACAGCCACACCCACCTGGACAGATACGTCAAATGAAAGAAAAAGAATGTGGGATCCAAAGTGATCTCGAACTGAATTGTCGCTCCTGGCGTAACGCCCCCAATCACACACTGTTTATTCTGCACCACAACATCCCATCTGTATGAATTAGTAGCTCGGAATATCGAGTAAAGAAAGCCCCAAGCCCCATTCTTGTTTGCTCACAATTTCTTTGGTATGTTTTGACCTTTTCAAATTTTGGCTTGGATATTGAAAATGGACAGCAAAACAAAGAAATACGTCAGTGAAAGTAGTAGTTACAACTATAATTTTGAAAAACAGGCCAAAGATATAAGTTATTTGGATTGGGAAAAGTAACAAGTTGTAGAAACTTGAATCTGTAAAAAGCTAAAATTTGTGGTTGGAGAGTTAGTAATGAAATATAAAAGATATGTTCCAAAAGTCTATACAGAGATTAGTAAAATTGTAATTCGGAATAAACAAACTCATGTATCAAAAATGGGTTCCAAGCATGAAGCATATTACCTTTGGCTTGAGAACAACCTCCCCAGACTGAGCAGAGATCTTCACCTTCGACTTAGTTAGCTTAATACGAACTGTTGAAGAAGAAGTCAAATTCAGAAACTTAAGACTTTTCTTTTACATGAACTGCAAAATTAAGGAAGAGTAGAGTTACCAGTCTCATTGGTGAGGACAAGTAACCGAGTTAGAATGAGTACGAATTCATATGAATGTATTGCAACAAAAACTCTATAGTCAATTTGGTCGATACCAATGTTTAGGGGAGGTGACAATACCAATGCAGAGTATTGCAAATATCCAGTACCTGAAAATCAATACTAACAATTTAAAGATTGAACAGAGAACAGGAATGTGCTACTACTCAATGAGGCAAAATTATAGACCAGAGAGAAATCATCCTCGATCAAGAAATCACCGCAACAATTCAAGGCGCTGTTCGTTCTTTTAGTCCCATATATGAAATTCGACCTAGTTCTTGAAACCAAAACAGCAACAATTGTTTAATATTACAAATTCAAGATTGAATTAGAATTAGGGACAAGAGAGAAATGATCCTCAATCAAGAAATCACGGCGATGACGACATTCAATTCAATTAGAATCGCAACAACAACCATCAAAAGGCCGAGAAAATACCGCATATCATAAATCCAAGATTCAATCAGAATTAGGGACAAGGGAGAAATGATCCTCAATCAAGAAATCACCGGAATGACGACATTCAATTCAATTAGAATCACAGCAACAACAACAACCGTCAAAAGGCCGAGAAAATACCGCATATCATAAATCCAAGATTCAATCAGAATTAGGGACAAGAGAGAACCGATCCGACAACATCCAATTGAATCAGAATCAAGATTCTTCGGAAAAAGAAATCAAGATTGTGAGAACTCACTAGGAATGACAAATTTGAGGGGCGCGATTCCAGGGTGTGCGCGGAGGAACATGGTCATGGTAATGGAATCGTCGGGGACATTGGAGAGATTGCTGATGAAGAGGTCAAGGAAAAACCTGGAAGAATACTCCTCGAACTCGTCGCCTTCGGGGAGAAACTGAAAGGAGGTGAAGAATGAAGGCGCCAAATGGAGCGATACAACGAACGGAAACTGATCGGGAACCACTGTAATGGAAAGCTTATCGGATGAGCATTTGAGATCGGCTTTTCTGGACATGTGAACCAGCGGCAACAGCGCCGTTCTCAGGTCCATCACTGTGTCGACATGGACGGCGAACATGGCGACCGAGCAAATTTTGATGATACCAACACTTTCAAGAGTTCTTCGTTTGCATTTTTATACTCCCTCTCTAATATGTCCCTTCAAAAGTTTGAGTTCGTGTTTTTATAGTACAGCGAGAGGAGGAGGAGAGATTCGAACTCGTAACCTTTTGTATTACATGCCACGTGTCAACATTTGGAATTGATGAAATAGAGGATAACTTATCGAAGTCTCCTCAATTCGATGTCTTGCATCCGAGCTACCGGATATGATCTACGATAGGTACGAGTCGAGATTAAAGAGCAACTATGGGAGCATAGACAATAGATATATTCCCCAACAAAAGACAGTTTAGTCATACGTTATTGGAAGCGCTCTTGGGAGCTAGCCTCTATAAATATATTACTTCTCATATAAGGTATACGAAATATATTCTCTATCAAATATAGATTGACTAACTCTATTTTGCAAGTCTTGAGTACTTCAGCTCGAGCTTCACAGATCTGGACTTGATCATTTTCACGATCAAACATTTGACGTATGTTGGCACATTAAATTTTTTAATAGTGTAGGTGGAAGAGAAAATTTTCAATATTTATTATAAATCAACTTTGAATAAGTGTTATAGGAGCTTCAAGTAATTAAATGTGATCTTGCACCATAGGTACTTTGACAATAAAAGAAGCAATCCAAAAGAAAGATTTGACAAACTAAATTAGTTTATGTTGTTAGTAAATGAATAGCTAATGGCATATAAAAAAAATTGAAAATTTAGAAATCTATTAAAATCCTTTTAAAACATCAGGGTGAAGATTGAACTTTTTAAACTTTTATAAGGACGCTTTAAGTTCGCAGTGTTGAGACAAAAGCTATCTCCTCGTGACTTAGGCTTCAATTCTTGTTGTATATTCTTTCTTACTCGCTCGAGCTATGATTTCCATATCAATTTAATCCATTTCGTTTCCTCTCGATTATTCATTATTGCAAAATATATTGTATGTGCGGTAATAATGAAAACTAACATATAAGTCCAATTGAAATATCATGAAATATGTGCAGAAAAAATTTTAATTTTATATTCAACAAGAAAAGTATAATAAAAAATTGTTATTGTAATTTAGTAATTTATAATTTAGGTCACATTTCACATGTCTGGGTGGTGTAGTTGGTTATTACGCTAGTCTCACACACTAGAGGTCCCCGGTTCGAACCCGGGCTCAGACAATATTTGTTAAATTTTGCTTTTTGAATAATATATTTATTTATTACCGAATTTCTGGTGTAAATATTAATGGGGAACTCGCTTAATTCATGAGTGAATATTACAAAAGATTAGAGACAGTATCAAATTTTTTCCTTTTTCGTTTCAAAAACTATATTTACAATTATGTTCCCTTTTATTTTTTTTGATATGGTTTTAGAAACACATATTTTATTTAAAAAAGAAAATATTGATAAAATATCTATGTGGACAGATATTTATGAAAAAGTCATAAAAATAAAAAAGTTCGTAAAAATATTAAATTAACAAATAAGCATTTCATCATTTTTAAATAAGTTAAAAATTATTAATAGTAATATTATGTCTATACTAGGAGATTTTGTGATATTTTTCACATTTTATTGATTTTTTGTAATATTATGGAAATGTCGATTTACTACTAGTGTTGATGTCGAACCCATGAATGCATAGAAATGTCGATGGAAATGTCGACATGTAGACAAATAATTAATATCATACTTGAAACAAATTTGCATATATATTTCAATTTTTTAAAATAATATGCGTTTTATTAAATTTTCTCTTTTAAGTTAGCCGCTATCGTTTCTGTTGTCCTAACAATATGTGTCAAACGATGTGCAAGTGTACACAAAATGAGGTAATAAAAAGATCGTCCTCACAAGGATTAAATTTATCAAAACGCCCTAAAAATTAAATTAAGGAAGCAATGACCAAACAAATAGGTTTTTACTTCTTTGTTGAACTAAACTAAAATCGATGGTAAGTTCAAAATAAAAGAGGGGAGGTTGATTTCTTTTGCTCTACTGACCTCTGGCATTGAAATCTTATTAAGGCCAACCAGATATGATATTCTTTCGAACTATCCAAACTTTGTTTTCCACAGCTATAAAACCGTTATTGATAATTGGTTAATATTCTATTAGAGGGTAATTTGTAAACTTTGTTTTAAAAGGGTTTTTACGTCAATTCAATTATAAACGGTTACGATGTTTATTAACCGTCACGTAAAGATCAAAGATGATGTCTGAATATCGGAATGGTCACATCATTGATTTTGTTTGATGACATGGTTTCACCGTCATCTAAAACCAAATTTCTAATAGTGATTTTTTTGGTATGAAACTGAGTGGATTTAACAAAAAAACATACATTAAAGTTGATTTTTCCCCCAAGAGAAAGTTCTTTAGATCACATGAGCATAGCTCAGTCCATGTACTCTTTTCTTCAAGATTGGAGATTCGATATTCATATCTCCAAATTGTTGTATAAAAAAAATTTTAAAAAAAAAATTAGAGAAAGTTCCTCATCATAAAGCCATAAATTTTCCTTTCCAACTTAGAGCAAAGGTTTATTTTCAGTGAAGGTTTTTGTTTTAAATAGTGTAATTTAATATATATATATATATATTAAGGCTGATCGAATCTCCACTCTCCAACATTATTAAGAAAAATAGGATTTTTTTTTTAAGTAAGAAATTTGAAAAGGGAAAAAAAAGGATCAAAATGTGTAATTAATATAATATAACAGATGAATGCATTATAAATTATAATTTATAGCTAATGCTCCTTCCTCTGGCTTTCCCAATATTCCTTTTCCCAAATTTCAACTTGCCTGAGGGCATTTAGTTTCTTCTCCTGAGACTCCTTGAGAACCGTCGGATCATGAGGCGGCAGATCGCACGGCTCTGAATCGCTGGGAGACATCTCCAACGAATCCTCCATGAATTTCTTGTGCAATCCGGCGACGGCGCCGGTCATCGTCTCCGGCCTCAACTCCACCGCGCCGGCGGGGACCACCGGCCGGAATTTCAGAAGCTTACTGTATTCGTTCAGAAGATGGAACATGTAATCATATACGAGTTCCATCTTTAGATTCTTTTGCAAGTAATTGCTTCCTTCTTCTCCTATTTCTTCTGCCTGTAAATTTTGTTGTAATTAATCTCAAGTTTTTACTCCGTTACCAAATGCGAACAAAAATAAATATAAGGGTCAAATACTCGTAAAAGTGAGCAGCAAATCATATATATCTTCAATCATACAAGTTATTGCCGACTATGTGATTATCTAACAGTTTGAGTACAATTGATATATAGTTGAGGTTCGATAAAAATATGAATTTTATAGATGGGGTTTGTGCCCGGATTAAATATTTTTCTAAATTCTTGGTTAGCAAAATGCAAGAGATTAAGAGTGTTCATATAAGCGGGGTTAATATACGTTTTTAAGATCCAACCCAATTGTTGCAGTTATAAATTTATTCAACTCAGACAATCCTTATTAAATAATGAATCTAACTCAACCCAACTATGAAATATTTTGATTGGGTTGGTTTAGACATTTCAGGCCCTCATTTAAAATATGTATGACAAAAAAAAAATAAAAGAAAATTTCAATATCTTAAATATTTATTTACATATTTTTTTAACATTTAATCACAACGTGAAAAATTACCCCTTTAAAATTTAAAATTTTATTTTAAACGTTGTTATAGAATAAATAATCCATAAAAAAGTATTGAATAAAATAAAATTAAAATAAATATATCCCATATAACCAAACTCGAATTGTTGGGGTTGAGTTCGGGTTGGTTTGGTTCAACCCAAACTTAATTTTTACGTAAACTCTTGAACCAACCAAATCTGTAAAAATTTGAACCCAACCTAATCCAAACAAATTTATAACCCAACTCAAATCATTGGGTTGGGTTCATCGATTCTTTCGAGTCAACGAGTTTTTAACATTCCTACGAAAATTGCTTTTTGATTTACCGGAAGCAAAGGAAGAATTACTAGCGAGTTATCCAACTAAGTATTCAGATATCAAATTTGGTTTATTTTAATTTTACCATTTATTCTAGTCAAAGTAAAAGGAGAGAGAAAGAGGGAGTACCTTATTAGTGTGATTGTTGCCCCATTGGACAGCAAACTTGAGGGAGGAGCATTTTGATTGGTCTGTGATGGGCCAAAAGTGCTCCAAAGGAACCATTCCCCTTATGAAGAAATCAAAATAGCGAGGCTTCACATAAAGCGTCACCGCGTCGCATGCCATTATGTACTTCTCGCTCACCGACCACGCCCATCCTTCTATGTATATCTTGTACCTATTCCCATTTACGTCTCGGATTTACAAGTTTAATCTATGAACTTTTCATTTCATGTTTAATAGATCTGCAAGTTTTAAAAATCTACAATAGGTTTTTGAGGGCCCGTTTGGTAACATTCCTATTTCTTTATTTTTAATGAAGAAAAATGTATTGCGTGGTTCCAACATCCAATAATTCAAGTGTGTTAAAACAATTTTTTATTTATATTTTGGAACAAATTAGAAATGTGAACAAGAATGAGAAACTTTCTAAAATGTTTAGATTTCTTAAGAAAATTGGAAACAAAAAACAAGAAATGAGAACGTTAACAAACCGGCTCTAAACTTTCAATTTCTGTCAGATTTGAAATTTTGAGACCCTATGAATTTTGTATCTTTTAAAACCATACGTAAAAAATTTATATTAAAAAAATGTCTAACATGACAAAGACCTATTAGACAAAACCCGAAAGTTTATCATATAATATTTGTAATTTAATGCCAAAAAAAAACAAATCATTTTAGTTATTGTTAATGATTTTTAGTAAATTATTTAATTGAAATTTGAGATTCACCTCTCTTTTGTTTATTTACTTGATAAATAGATGTCTCTTGTGAATAGATGTTTGACTTTTCAAATCAATGGATTTGAGTAGTTCTTGTTAAACAATTAATGAAAAGTTAATGGTAAGGAGTAAAATAAATTTTTTATTGTTTTTAATGTAAAGTTAAAGAACATAACGAAATAATTCAAAGTTAAGGGACTAAAATATAATATTTAAAAGTTGAATCCCTAGACTTTATGTAAAAAATGAATTACTAACCTGTGTGTACATTGATCTTCTAGATTCGATTGCTTGTATCCTGCTTTGGATTCCTTATCCCAATCCTTCAAAACAAAATCAATTTCTAATAACAATTTATATGTAAATTTTTTCAATTCAATTTTCTTTCTAAATCTAGCTCATTCAAAATTTTCTCTTTAATGTTTCAAATTTGTTAATTCCAACCCAAAACTTGTAATTTCAATAGAAATTTAAAATATAAAGTTTAAATACTACTTTTGTCCGTGCATTTTTTTAGTTTTCGTTTATTTTAATTACTTTCAAAACATCTATTTTAATTCTCGTGTATTTTCGAAACATCAATTTTGGTTGCTTTACTTACAAAAATAGACTCTTTTAGTCATTTCATTTTCATTTTTATCTCATTTCCTTTTTAACCCTAATTTTAGCATGATATTTTACTTACTAAATTTCTTGAAATGTAGTCATAAATTTGTAATAAATGATTAATTCAGTCCATGAACTTTCATTTAGTCCTTGTACTTTCAAATTTGTAAAAATTTGGTCCTCAAACTATAGTATGAAACAATTCAGTCCCAACAGTTTTAAATTTGTAATGATTTAGCCCCTATTGTGAAAGTTTTTGTTCAATTTCTTAGACATTTAGATTGATAAACCGACGAATGACCAAATGTGTTTATAAATAACAAAGACTAAATTGTTATAAGATAAAAATCGATACTTAATTTTGACAAAAGTTTTCACGGTAGGGATTGAATTGTTACAAAATTTAAACTATAGGGACTAAATTGTTACATACTAAAGTTCAGGGACTAAATTGTTACCAAGTTTTATAAGAACTAAATGGTTACAAACTAAAATTTAAGGACTAAATTCTTTAGCAAAAGTGTAGGGACCAAATATATTTTTTAACCAAAATTTTCAAATAGAGACCAAATTTTTCACTTTTAAAAAGTACAGATATCAAAAGAGATATTGTGAAAGTACAAACCTTAAAGATAAATAAAAGTTGAAAGTAAAGAGCATAAAATGAACCTTTTAAGAGTAGAAAGATCAAAAGATCGACTAAAATAGTATTTAATTTAATTTAATTTAATTTTTTTATAATTTCAGAGAGATGAAGAGTGAGAAAATTGACCTGAATATATAGGAGAGTGTCCCAATTTTGTTGATGAGTGAGATTGCATTTGAGAAGGTCTCTTCTATTGGGATCCACATGAGGGTTCCCTTTCCAATAAGCTAAGGGCACCCTGTCCTTCCATTTGCTTCTTTTGTTCCCTTCTTTTATGTCCTCCAACACCCTTCTCCAAGGCTTTATGTTTATTTCCGCCCTTCAAATTTCAATAAATTCAATTTTCACGATCGTCTATCTAATAGCTAATAGCTTCGTGAACTCTTAAAAAGTATATGATAAGTTCTTCAACTTTTAATTTTGTATCTAATAAGTCTCTGAACTTTTAATTGTGTGTCTAATAGATTCTTAACGTATAAGACATTTTTAAAAGTTCTTAAGGTACATTGTAAGAAAGAAAAAGATAGATTCAGAGCACAACAAGAACAAAGAGACTTTGCAATAAAAAACAGCAGAAACACAAACAAGAGGACAACAACAAATAAATCACGAACAACTAGGATAAAACCCAAACATAAATAAGAGAGCACCGAAGCTGGAAGATAGACGACTTAGTTATCAAAGTTCTGAGACTTACTAGGTACAAAATTGAAAATCCAAATACATCCAATAAATCTTGAGTTTAAAAACCTATTAGATATAACACTGAAAGCTAAGGCTCCATTTGATAATCATTTTGTTTTTTGTTTTATGTTTTTCAAAATTAAATTTTACACCCTACTTTACATCCATGTATTTCCTTGGAGCATCTCTATTTTCTAAATTTCGAAAACTGAAAAAAAAAGTAGTTTTCTTTAAATTTGACTAAGAATTTAAATATGTTTTAAAAAATTATGAAAAAAAAAACTAAAGAAACTGTGAACAAAGAAGCATAATTTTCAAAAACATAAAATTAAAAATTAAATAGTTATCGTTGGATTTATCAATCAATAATGTTGCTCCAACACTCAACCAACGAGCTACGATAGTACCAATCAAAAAGACGGACCGCCTAAGAAATATATTAGACACATTTTGAAATTCAAGATATACTAAACATCACCTTCAAATTTTAGAGACTAAACGTATCATTTCAAATTCTTGTTTTTGAAAATTTCAAATTTTATTTTTCTTAATAAAATATTTACTAAATGGAGATTTCATGATTTAATCATTATATATGTGGAAAGTAAATTAGTGGGAGAAAAAAAGAGAGAGAGTCGAATAATTACCATCCCCAGAAGGACCAATCAGGGAACACGATATCCAAACTGGACTCGTCCGAGCAGTAGCGGAACAGCGGAGGTGGGCCCCCGCGTTGACCTGAAAAGTCAGCAGATCGGACGACGGGGCGATCATCACAGTCAAACATCAGTTCAAGATCAGGCAATTTTCGAGGGTACCATCTGAGAAGCTGCAAAAATCCCCACATCGTGAACAGATCTCTGGTCTGGATTGACCCCCTGTATTTCTCCACGTACACCCGCCCGTCCAGGATCACTACCCGGAAATGGGCCGTTTTCCGGGCCCGCTCCACCATCTCCCTCGTGATCCCCGTCTCTCTCCACGGCCGTAGATCTTCGTGGATCCAACGGAAGTGGGGCGGGCACGTGGCGCTCCACGCACGGTCGGGATTCTGCCGGTGGTCCTCCGTGGAGTGGTTTGTGGATTGTGGAAATTTCCGTTTCCCCCTCCAAAACATTGGCTGCCGAAAACAACTCAATAATTATTATGAAAAAGAAAAATCCTAATAAATAATAATTAATAAAAAGATTATTGAACTAACTGCCTATTACGTCTATAATCTATGTATCTTCTTTTTTTTTTTTAATCATATCTCTATATTTTGAAAGTAATTTTAGACATTTACCTTCAGTGATGTAATCCGATAATTTTGTACTAATTTAAATTAGTACAACTTGAAAAAATAATAACCAAAAATCCATGTCAGTACTTTTATCTCTATTTAAGAAAATTATTATGTCAATATGAACCTCCTCCGATGTTATTGAACTTTAAAATAATAATAATAAAATTGGTAGATATGGGGTATATGATACGGATAAAATTGATATATATATAGTATATGACATATATTAACTTAAAGTCTTGACAAAAAAGAAAAATATATAGTTTTTAGATATAATTTTTAAATTTTGCACGACATTAGGGATGAATAAACACTCCTCAATCCAAAGGTAGGCTTAATTTTAAAAGTTACATATTACTTTGATATCATCTTATAGATAAGGTTGAGTGTATAGGTCGGGTAAATTTAATATAATTCAAAGACTTACCGTGTTGGTCGATGTGAAACGAACAAAGAGGCCAATAAAGAATAGGAAGAAGAAGAGAAACACCACGATCTTGAAGGTAGATTTTTTCTTTGGCGGTCGCCATCTCGAATCTTGAAGGGCAAAAGAAGAAGAATCGTTGCAAAAGATTTGGTGTAGATCACTCCTATCACTCCATCGTTTCATTTCTGATATATTCTTTGGAATAATCAGTTCTTGTTCATAATCTCAACTTGAAGATTCTAAGAGAGAGAGAGAGAGAGAGAGAGAGAGGAGTTTGTGTTTAATGAAAGAGTTGAAACGGAAGAGTAAAAATTTATTTGGGTGTGTGGGGTTTGGGTTTTACTTGTGATTAACGGCAAAATCAGGTTTTTTATTGGCCGTGGATTACTCCACTAAAATGCTTCGTTAAAGAATCAACTAAACGACAACGTTTTTGAAAGGTTAGAGATCAACCTCTTAGTCTCCCCATTGACTAATCAAAAGTCTTCTTTGCCTAACTCTCTAATACATATGTAGCCCTTCTTCCTTACGCTAAGTAGTCCCTCCCTTGCTTGGTTTGTTTTATTTTAGGCTAAAGTATTTAAATGCTCGTCGAGTTCGAGGTTAGTTTCAATTATATTCTTATCGATTTTTAAAGTTTTACTTCTACCATCCTTTTACTTCCTTTAAAATTTGATTAGGATATATGTTTCTGTGAATAATGTCATCGTTAAAATGAGTGACTCAAACTGTTGTACAGCTATGCTGACAATTATCCCGTTAATCAATAGGTAATCACGGATCTGTTGATGATGACTTCCCTTTTGATCTCACTCAAAACGTCTGATATCAATAGAGATAATTATCATTACCTGTATATTAGGGTTTGTTGGGACCTCTAGGGAATATTTTGGGGAGTGTTATTGTATCCAATTCTTAACAATATTAGTGAATTACCCACTGTGAGTGGAAGACTGGACGTAGCCCTTAGTGGAGAACCAGTATAATTATTCATGTCAGTTAATTTCCCAACAGTGTTGATTTTCTTCTTTCCTAATTAACGTGAGACTTTCTTTTATACTCCACCTAACACTATCTTTTATCCTTCAATATTTAACAAGTTTCAATTTAGCGTTAGAATTTGAGATACGATTTAAAGATTATACATCGCTCGTATATAAATTGAGAAAATATAAGATTAGAAGATTTAAAAAGAAATATTGCTTGGAAAACTTTTAGCAATCAAGAGCATACATATTAGACAATAAGAGAGTGAGCCATGTCCTTTTTTTCATAACTAAATAAAGAACCTAATTGAAATTTATGAACTAAAATAAAAAAATTCAAAACTTTAGATACTAAATTAGGATCCAATGTAAGCTTTAAGGAAGAACTAATGTAGAATCTTTCTTTAAAGAATAAATTGTTGGGTTTGTAAGATAATTGCAAACAAAGTCTCACATTGACTGAAAAATTGAATGATCATAGGTATGAGGTTTTTAGGTGAAACCAAAAGCAAAATCGTGAGGGCTATGTCTAAAGTGAACAATATCATACCATGATAGAGATATTCGAGGTACTTTAGGTACCGTTTTCGTTAACATAAATAACTCATTATAATTTCTTTATGTTTTAAAAATTATTTTTAACTGAATTTGTTAAGATATTATGGAAAATTATTTATGGTGGGGTGGAGTAATAAAAAAAATAACGGACATTATTAATTGTACCTCAAAACATAATTTAAAATTAAAAAAATATATAGTTTTAAAAATAAAATAATTATTGGATGTAAATTTTTTCTAACATTAATGTGCATTAATGAGATGGTTATGGAATTAAACAAAGTTCAGTGCTTCTAATTTCATTGACAAGGCAATCAATTTTGCCCATTGTCAGTATTTAAGAGATGGAAAAATAGAAGTCCCAAGACTCAAGTCTAAGTAGATCTACAATGTTTGACTTTTTTTTAGTACTTGAAGATTCGAATTCACAATTTTCTTATTGAAAATAACTGTTTTAACCAATTGAGTTAATGGTAAGTTAGTGTTTACTAATGTTCGACTTCAATAGTTAATGGCTTATATCTTCAAATTCCCTTCTAATCAAGGTTTTAAACATCAATGTCGATAAAGTCTCAATTTTGTGAAAATGTCAATGGTAAAGGTGGTCAATTCTAATCTCCACTACGTGTCGTACTAAAAAAATAATAATTATATTAATATTATATTGAAAATTGAAGAAATTAACAAAAACTCTTGTTACATAGTTATCGCATATATATTTTAACCTAACAAAAATATGTATGTTTTATATAATATTAATTAGAAAATTTATGGGAGTCAAGGGGCTAGAGTTAAACATCCCAAATTGTTTAGAAATTTTGAGGATTAAATTTCGTAAGATTAAAAGAATGTAACACTTCTTCTAAGGTAAATTGGTAAATTCTGGTGAAAACCTTTTCGTCACTCATATCCGTGAGTGTACGAACAAGTTTATGCATATCTTGATTAATTTCACGATACAACCATATTACCTTGTAACATAGATTATATTGCCAAGAAATATTACGAATTGTATCATAAATCTGGTTGGTCACACCTTTCCCCAAAGTAGCCAACTATTTTGCTTTCAAACCAACTTTCTTTCAATACAGGACAATATTAAATTACCAGTTTAGTCTTTTAACTTTTAGGATTATGTTTAATAGGTCTCTAAACTTTAAAAAGATATCTAATAGATATTTAAATTGGTCCTGTTTCTTGTTTTTTGTTTCCTCTTTTTTAATAAATAAAAACAAAACTACATTTTGTAACTATTCTTTCTTTGTTCTTTCTTTTTTCATTGAAAAAATATATAAAAATATATTCGGTAACCATTTATTATTGTTTTCTAAAATTTTAAATGAAAAGGAAGAAAAATATTTATATGAAAATTAGTTTTTTAAAATTAAACACTCAAATTTTTATACTAGTTATTTTTAATATTTATTATGCAGTTATAAATCAAGAATAATAAAACAATACTTTTACTTATGTCTCGAAAAAATCTGAAAACAGGAAACAAAAATAAGAAACTTGACTTTTCATTTCTAAAATTTTTATACAATTTGAAAGACAATTTTAAAAAACGAGAAATGAGAAAGAAAAAACACGTACAAATACTTATTTTTCTAAAAAATATAAAACGATAAATAAGAACGTCATCGAGCACTAAACTTTCAATTTTATGTCCCTAAACCTTAAAGATTGTCTAATAGGTTAAGCATCTATTGACGCCATTAAAATTAAAACATCAGGAATATAATAAATACAAAATTAAAAATACCTTTAATAAGTTTTAAAAAAAACTATTATGCAAAACACTAAGGGTTGATTTTCTTTCATTCGAGCATTACAACACAATAATGTGGTTGATTTTCTTGGAAAGTGAGCTACAAATTTTATTCTATACTTGGTTCAGAATGAAAATTTTAAACTTTCTCATTTCTACTTAATATACAGTATCTTTAAAGAAAAAAAAAAGAAAAAGAGTGTGTTTTTAAAACAATAATAAAAATAAAAACTTTCGTACTAAAATGTAATTGTAAATATAGTTTTTTGAAAAGAAAAAGGAAAAAAAAAAAAAATTTGAGATTCACTTTCTCATTTCTACTTAATATATAGTATTTTAAAGTAAAAAGAAAAAGATTGCATTTTTAAAACAATACTAAAAATAAAAATAAAAAACTTTGTTAATAAAATGTAATTGTAAATATAGGTTTTTGAAAAGAAAAAGGAAAAAAATTTGAGATTGTCTGAGCCCGGGTTCGAACCGGGGACCTCTAGTGTGTGAGACTAGTGTGATAACCAACTACACCACCCAGACAATTATATGATTATATTATTATATTCTAATATTGTAATATAAAATTACAATATTTTATCTCTCCTCCCAATTTTTCTCTCGCTCCTCCCTGAAAAACCTCTTTTTAAAGCATTTTTTTTCCTTTTTTTTTTTTCAAAAAGCTTAGTTATCTGGTTAAGTTTTGTCTATCTATCTTTAATTGAAATGATTAGTTATAACTTATACGAAAGAAATCAATTAGAAAAAGAATTTATATATAGATATATATTTATAAAACTCTAATGGCATAAAATGTGGTTGATTGGTATATAAAATATACACTCATTAAAAATGTTTTACATCTTTTCATAGCTTTTTGCTAACGATTTACAATATCTTTGTGGGAAATCAATTCATTTACATATCTTTTATAGGTACATATACAAGAAAATTAAATGCATTATTAATATTAAAAAATAGTAAGAATGTGTTTACAAGTGATTTTGGCATAGTCGAAGTCATTTATACCGTTGATTATGTTTGGAAAATTAAGAATTTAATTTAAAAAAAGCTTAAAATTACTTTAAATTGATTTTTAGACATTATTTGGATAGTGATTCTGAAAAATCAATCTCTTTTTTCAAAATCACTAATTTTACCATCACTCTCAAACGCACCAATCATACCCATGACATGAATCATCGAAAAAAATCTCAGACATCAAAAGATTGAGCCATCAAAAATATTATTTTTGAAAATAGGAATGTAAACCTTCACCCAAAAAAAAAAAAATTGAAAATCTATATGCATTTAAAAATAGATTGCCAGAAATTTACTTAATAAAGGTTACAAGTTGACATCAATTGAGGCAATATTAAGACAAAAGACTGAAATTCAAATCTAAATAAAATTAACCATTTGCTAAATATCATTATTAATTTAACCGCAAGCTTGCTTCATTGTACAACTACTAATGAAACCCTTTATTGTTCTAACCATTTGTGTTTGCTTTTGAAATACCTTAATTAGTGGACTTTTTGTTTGGGGCTCTTGTTCTTTATCATAGACCTTGAATTTTTTATTTTTCTTTTAACAAAATTGTAACTTAAAAATTAATTTAAATAATAATAATTAAATAAAAAATATATATAAACTAGCGGTGACTATGATTATAATAAATGAAATTACCGTTCTCCACATCCTGCCAGCTATACAGATATATTAATAATGAATATCAAAAAAGAGAGGGAAGAGAGAGAACTTCTATTTTTTTAAGTACACGTGGGGTTGAGATCAACTCACAGCATCCTGATTGGAGATATGTGCCAATTACCATTGAACTATACTCGTTTTGAGAAATTCTGTTACCACGATGTAATGATGCTAAAGGAGAACAAGATCATAAGAAGTGTCTTTACGAGTAGCGGAACCGTGTTTTACATAGTGATTTGTGGTCCTGTTAGGCTTCAGAGGTTGGAAGTAAAGAAGCAACAAGCTAGTATTTCAATGGCAAAACAAAAGCAAGGGTCTGCTCAAACTCAAACATGGAGGCAATTCATTCAGAAACATTCACCTCTCATCGTTTGGTGTGCCAATAAAATAGAAAGCAAACTAACACCCCTACATACCTTTTACTGACATTCAAAGGAGAACACCTTGTAGTTGATAGGTTTCGATGTCCAATTCCTGAAAGCTGGTTGTTCCTTGAAAACTCTAGACGTTAAATGATAATCTCGGGCTCCATCCTGCAAATGGATTGGATTGAAACGTCAAACGACTGTCGTAATTAAAAGAACTGGGTACAACATTTGGTGAAAGTGCAACCAAATTTACTACAATTTCAGGTATGTTGTAATTCAGAGACAAGGGAAATACAGTACTTTCATGTATAGGTCTTTGAAAATAAGAGCTTTTGAGATTAGTCATAAGACTCATAACTACGCTAGGGAAAAGAAGAAAAGTGAGAACCTGCTACTCTAATGTTGAATAATTTCATGAGCACTTCCTAGTTCTATGAGCAAGAATTTTCAGTCACTTTCCAATGGACAAGACGAGACACCCCGATGGGCTTGTTTGAGCACTCCCCCACATTTTACTCTACTTGAGCATTTTCATGTGCATCTTTGAAAATATAAAAGATGGCTATTTTTTTGTTTATTTTATCTTGGCAACACAAACTTCACTCAATTTCAGACCTTGGATACTGTATTAACTCCTTACAGTTGGCAAGAAAACAGACGAGAGGAAAATGGAGAAAATTAGTATGAGATGAACAGATGCATGTTGCACTCTGTAGTATGGAAAATCTACTATATAACATATTGAAAATTAATTTAATGCTTCAGTTGACAACACCAGACCTAGCAGAAGGTGAAACCTAAACAATTTCCATGTTAGATGCTTGGTCTGCAATGTAAACAACTTTAAATCCTCTCATAAAAAAAAAATTTAATTTTTATTGTGAATTACACAATTGTCCAAATTTTCAGCACATCTGTTGCTGAGAGTTTTTATTTATTTATTATCATTATTTATTTTCCGTTCTGTGACATCATGATGATGTAGAATAGAAAACGAAGAATCTCATCCTCTTTACACCAGAAAATCCCTTGACCTATAGATGTTCATCAAGTTTGGGATAGAACAACCACTAAACCCATAATGTTGTTTTGTCTAAAAATTTGTAATTGATTTTCCAGTCCAAGTAACCCCAAAGGATTTTGAACCGATAACCATTTTTGTTTGAATCCAACTTCTCAATTGAATTAAACCCTTGGGGTTGACGATAAAAAGAATCTAAATGCATTTTTATGATGGGCAACCCCTACAGATGAGATTTAATATCACTTCCCCCCCAAGGTTTAAGAGGTGTCCAGATTTAACAGAAATCAAATTTACCTTCAGTGTGCGATAGGAAATGTTGCTGGCAGGAAATTTAGTTGGGAATTCACTTTTAAGCGACCAGAATATTTCCAGCAATCGCTTCCTGTGAAATTAACATAATGCTGATGAGAAAAAGATAAATCACATCAACTATCTTGTCAAACAATGCTTAAAGTTATAATATTACTTGCATAAAGATGACTCGGAAGATGGATACTGTGCCCCTTTAGCAGAGGTTCCTTGCTTTCTTCCAGTAGTTCCAAGAATGACCTCATGCAGGCCAGACTTGTTCCAACAAATAGAATACCTGTCAGATAGCCAGAAAAAATATTTAACAATACGATTATAAGATCACTCTTGCACATACATACGATCATGTTGAGACATTACCCACAAGTTAGAGTGCTTAAAGCAGACTCCGAGTGTTGAAACTCCTTCGGTGGTATTGGAGCTGCGCAAAATAGTGGCTGCAAATCCACTTAACACAAAGAATTAAAATAGTCACAAATCATAAATTCATAATCCAGTCCTGCCATATTTTACCAAATATATCTGCTTTTATGTACCTGATTCACCTTAAAAGGAGTCATTAGCTCATCTGAAAACGGCTGTACTCGATCAAACACTGCTCTTTTCATGTGTTCCTCTAGGATACAACTTTTGGCACTATGAGGGGACAATCCAATTGTTATAGAGGAAAGATAAACAGGCTGAAGAAAGTACGAGAGAAGAGCTCCTGATATAAGAACGAGGGGCAACCATTTCAGTTATGTAAAAACATTTGTACAGTTACAAAGACAGGTATACAAGTACAAGTGTACAACCATAAAATAGAGTGCCTGAATAGCAATAAGCATAACAGTATTACAAAAATGCAAAACAAAAAAAACTTGTAAAAGGAAAGGCAAAAAAGAATATATTAGTTCAAATGCCCAAGTCAAAAATTATATATCCAAGCATGCTCAAATAACTCAAAAGATAAAAGCTACACAAAACACATGCTAAGGCTACAAGAGAAAGGTCATATTGCCATATTATAACTAAATATTACCCAGCCAAATTTGTTGCAGCATGCTATTAATAAGGTTAAACACAGCCACTATTATGGTTCTGTCACATGACGCACCTTGAACTCCAACGACATTCCACCGAGCTATCTTGTCTGAACAGCTAACTGACAATGTTGTATCACCACGACCAGGCTTCCTCTGAACCAAGCCTATGCATTGTGAATCATCCCCTGAAATTTGAATCCACTCGTACAATCTCCATGAATGAAGAAAAATTTTGATGTTAAAAGCTACATTCCGTTACCCTCTTAAACAGTTAAACATGAAGAAAAATCATTATTTTCCATTCGAGTCTTTGGTAGTGTATCCATACCCTTCTCAATCAAACATGGTGGTGCATCCTCTGTCCTAGGTTGGACATTTCTGGGAGTCGAAGAAGAAGCATCCCCGCATGGTAACTGAGATATGTATAGATGCAGTTTCCAGCCCTTTCTCATGACATATTTTCCTCCAGCGCCAGCCTCCTCATCTAATTCAAACAAAATGTTCTTTACATCATCACTCCTCGACCTTTTCATTCTGTGATGTTCACTGTCACAGTTGTTCTGAGACAGATGTTGAATCTGTGCGTAGAAGAACCTGGTGAGCAGAGGAGCATATTGGTCAAAACAAAAGTACAGAAACCAGAAGCAGAAGCGGAGAATGAAGTAGAACCTCATCAAAGCTCTCCGAGCAATTATTTCTGCATGCGAATCATTGACAATGTCGCCATTAGGGCTTAACTGCGAGCGACCGAGGCACTTCGTCCCCGTTCCTAACGCCACAACTTGTAAATCTAAATTAATCAAAACAGAGAACAATCAACAACGATGAACAATTTGTGTTCCATGATCTAGGGTTTTGAAGGGGAATTACCTCGTGGAGAAGGAGATGAAAGAAGAAAAGCAGCGATTACAGTGACTTCGCGACCCTGGGGCTTGCCTTTCTTGGGAAGAGTATTGTAGAGTGAGAATACTTTCTCCGATATCGCCTCTCCCCACAATGAAGAACAAGAAGAAGAACAGTCCGCCATTGTTTCTTTCTCACACTGTCACGCAACGGAAATCAAAAAGTTTCTTGTACTATAATGACTTAATGAAAGATTAGAAAAGAAAATGAAATATTTTATTTAATTTAAAAGAAGAAGGGTAATAAATGGGGTTTTTTTTAAATAATGTAATTTAAAAAATAAAAAACAAAAATAGGGTACTTTTCAACTAATTTCAAAAGTGGATAGCAAACTCGCATCCAATGTACGCGTATTCGGTAAACTCGTATGCAATACACACGAGTTGTGTGAATGTGGCTCCAACGACGCACAATTGGAGTCAGGTGTGTTGTAGAAAATTGTGTGTAATGTACACAAGTTCGGTCTTCACCCCACCCCTCTCCCACCTTGCATTTTCAAACCAAAAACTCTAATTCTCTCTCTCTTCCTCTCCTCTCTCAACTCAGTCGTCGTTGCACTACCATCCGTCGCCACCTCCACCAAATGTTGCGGGAGGTGATCCTATTCCTCCCTCCTTTTTATTTTTTATTTTTTAGTTAGATTTTGTTACGATTCCTACCCTTATAGTTCATTCAATCATCACATCAACTTCAATTCATCACCAAATTTATTACTACAACTATCACCTATTGAGGTAACACAACAACATATGAATGATATAATTCATCATTCATCATCACATATTGCTACGCCTCAACCTCGTCGTGAAGCTCACTCGAGAAGATGGTCATCATGTGGTACATGAGTTTTTATCGTATAAATCAACTTGTGTACGAAACTTTTATTGATTGATTCGAAATTAGTTTGTCATTTAAGTTAATTTTTATTATAATGTGGTGCATGAATTTAGTGTACTCAAGTTTTATTTATCAACTTGTGGTACATTAGTTCACAATTCAACTAGTGGCAAAATACTAAGAAAAAATTTCAAAATTTTTGCAAAAAAGAAAAATCAAGACAAAAAATTTATAGGAGAAAAAAAAAATATAAGATCTAATATTTAATGGTTCATCAATTAATGGTTTTAAAAGATCTAATATTTAAAGGTTTCTAAACTTTCAACTTTTTGTCTAATAAGTTAGTGGCTTATTTGACATTTTTTAAAATTAATAAATCTAATAGACATAAAATTGAATTTTGTGTTTAGTGGAATCATAAACTTTCATTGTTGTGTCTAATAGATTAGTGGTAAAAAATGTAGAATAGGTCAATGATTATTGGTACAAAATTGAAAGGCTATAGATCTATTAGGGTCCCTTTGATAACCATTTTAGTTTTTGGTTTTTAGTTTTTCTTGTTTTTAGATTTTGGGTTTTTGTTTTCCATATATGTTTGATAATCATTTTTAGTTTTTTGTTAGAGAAAATTTTATGTAGTGTAGAGATGACAATGGTGTGCGTGCGAGTGAGGATGCTCTCCCCCATCCTCTCGTGAAAATTTTTAGTCTCCGTCTCCACCTCGTTCTTGGGTCCGAGAGATGTTTCTCGAGAAAAATTATCGGTTTTATAATTGTTTTTAATTATTTTTATAATTTAAGTATAAAAAAGTGTAATAAATATATATTAATTATTTAAAAAATGGAATCGGGGACGGGAATGGGGTCGGGACATTCATTTCCTATTTTTGGAACCCGACCCTGTGAAAATTTTTGTCTTCCCCCTAATGTAGAGATATGAAAATACAAGTTTAGAGGGTTGTAAATAAACTTTCAGAAGATAAATCTTAGAGAGATAAATAAAAAAATTTAGAAAAAAAAAATAGTGAAAGAAAAGTTAAATAAAAAAAAAGAAAAAACTATAGAAAAAATAAATTGGAGAGGAAAATATATGTTAAAGAAAAAAAGAAGATAATAACAAGATTCAAAAATAATTTTTAGAGAAAATAAATAAATACAAAGACCAAATAAAAGTTACGATGAAAGAAAATTGAACAAGAAAATAAAATATAATTTTCAGAGCAAAAAATAGATGATGGAGAGAAACAAAAGTTATAAAAGATGAAATTTTAGAGAGAAAAAAGTTATGAAAAATATTAAATTTTTAGAGGGTATGTTAGGAAAAATATAGAGAATTTTGGAAAGACACAAATGATAATAAATATTCAAAATATGAAAATTTTAGAGATAGAAAAATAAAGTTTGCAGAGAGAAATTTAAAAATAAAAAAATTTTAGAGTGAGATAAATTTTTTAGAGATAAATATGAGAAAGAAAAAAAAAAGTTGAGTATTAAAAGAAAAAATCAAATTTTGAAAAACAAAAATCTATTTTTGAAAACTACTTTTTTTTAATTTGAAATTTACATAGAAATTTTAAAATGGTTTTGAAAAACAAAAATCAGAAAATTGAATCGGTTATCAAACAATTCTTTTTGAAAAACTAAAAACCAAAAATAAAAAACGAAATGGTTATCAAACGGACCCTTAAATACAAAATTAAAAGTTTAGACCTCACTTTTCCACGTTCTAAGACCTATTAGATACAAAATTAAAAGTTCATCAATTTGTTAGATACTTGATAAAATTCAATGGCTTATCAGATACAAATCTAATGGTTTGATTAAATTTGTAATTTAATATAATAAAACGAGTTAAATAGTTACCTTACCTAGGTCAAGAAGAAAGAAAGCAGGCGTATTTTTGGTTAGGTTGGTTTGAACCAAAAATTAACGCAATAAGCTCGAGATCAAAAAGAATTTGAAATCATTTCTCGACTTTCAAATAACAGTTATTGAAAACTTTCTTGTTGTCATTTGTGCCTAGGATAAAAAATATATCCATTTGAATATATAAGATAATAACTAGGAGTTAAATTGTTGTGTTTGTTTTATAGATTTTGCTCCAATTTTATTAAGAAATTTCAATTTAATTAAATATTTATGCAAGATAGTTAATTATTTAGTAAATAAACAATTAAAATTAATTTAGACATTAACCTTTTTCTCAAATCTCCAGAATTCATTTCCCAGCAATAATAATCCCATCTCCAAAATAACAACAACAATATTAATTACCTGAAAGAAAATGATCATGAAAAAAAACGTAAATTTTGTATATCCTTGTTAAAATCTATATCAAAACCTATGAAACAGAACTTGAAAATTAATCCAAATACACTCAGATAATTCGATTTAACCATCTCTTTAACCAAATTCAAAGCAAACTCAAGAATAGGGATGGCAACGGGGCCAGGCAGGGGGACCGATCCCCATCCCCACCCCATCCCCACCGGGGAACCCGATTAATCCCCAATTTGACCGGGGGTCACAGGAATCATGTCCCGCGCAGATATTTTTGCCATCCCTACTCAAGAATCATCTACAAAGTATTAAGAATCATCTACAAAAGTATTGATGCATCATCAAATCTATTCAAAAACCATAATTGCACAATAAAGAAAAATAACTACCAAAATCAATATTTCTTGAACAAGAAATACAAATTATAAGCCTCAAGTTTACATCTTGTAGGATTACCAAAAATGATCGCAGCATTACAGAATGAAAATTTAAAGAAAGTTTAACTATAGGTTGATCTGACCATCCGCACCTTTTCTAAACTTGCATTAATTTATGATCTCTTTCTCTTTTTGTTACTCGACAAACTTCCTTTGTTGAAGTCCCTAATATCACTTGTTGTCTCAGCTGTGTTCTGCTTTTTCAAACTCTTCCTCCCGCCGAATCCGAACTTGGAATCTCTGAAGTCTCTCTTCTTCTTCGGATTTTTCCCCTTTCCACCTCCTCCATGTCTTGTCTTCCCTCCCGAGCGGTCGCCTGGAGACACCCCTGGCCTCTTCTTACCGGACCTCTCAAATGTCTTTCCATCTTCAAAGGTTAAGTCCATCTCGCCCCCTTTATCGCCTCCAGCAAAGCCACTCTTTTGCCTCTGCTTCCTCCATTTCTTGACGGATTCAATCTCTTCTTTCTTCTGCTTAGCCCTCTCCTTTAGCTTCTGAGCTTGTATCTCTTTAGCTAACCTCTTCGCTTCTCTAGCCTTCCTTCTTTCGTCGGCCTCCTCCATCTTTCTCTGCTCGGCCAGCAGCCGACCCTTCACTTTCTCCATGTGAGTATCTGTCTTCACCATCTCAGCATAATAGTCTGCAGGTCTGAGAAACGGGAGTCCTAAAGATTGGAACTTCTCAAAGGCCATTCTTGCCCCCTGCAAAGCCTGTGTATAGAATGCAAGCTCTCTAGCTAGATCATCATTCACATCCACCTCTTTTTCTTGATCAATATCAAGAGATAACCTGTGTATCCATCCCGCATTTTCCGGCCAGCTAGTATCTCCAAGCTTATCGAGGAGACCGTCTGCATTATATATTGCATTCTTTGATGGTTCAGACAATTTCACATCTTCTTCTTCTTCTTCGGATTCAGATTCAAAATCAGAATCCTCACTATCAAGATCCTCATCTTCCATTGTATCCTCATCTAAGAAGGAATCAGCTTTATCTAATACACCCATTTAAAACCTATCGAAACAATGGCAATCAATAAGGTTAGACGTCTAAACTTGCTACATTGTATCCCAAAAATATGTGACGAAATCAACTCTATCAGGAAGGAGTTTTATACCAGTTGATACCAGAACTGTCACCCAGTAAAGAACAATTATATTAGCAACATTTGCAGGCTAGTAAAAAAAGATTAAGATTAATAATACGGACTATGGACCTCAATCAAAATTCAAACAAATGATTGTTAGGTTACTCTTTAGACAGAGGGAGACAATAGCATATAAATTAACAACACTCAATTGCTATGCTATTCAATGCCATACCAAAGGAGCAATTGCATTAGCAACATTTGCAGGCTACTGAAAAAGATTACGAATACGGACTAAGGACCTCAATCGAAATTCAAACAAATGCTTGTTAGGTTACTCTTTAAGCAGAGATAGACAATAGCATAGCAATTAACCACATTCAATTTTGATAATCTTTAAAGAGGGAGGGGGGGAAGCCATTACGATGCTGGAAATTTAAAATGTAAGAATTGAAACATTTGAGAGAGAGAGATCGTTTCATTCGAATCTAGTTCACTGAAAACTTGCTTGGCAAATCACAGGTGGAAAGCAATCCATTGGAGAAGTCAGAATGGCAAGAAGGTCCAGATAAAGCTATAGAGAACGAGAGAGAGAGAGATTACCGGTGAGTAATGAGTGAGAGAGAGAGTTCGTCGGCGGCGGCGGCGGCGGCCGCAGCTGCGTGGGATGAGAAGACGAAAGAGTGCGTGCGTGAGAGAAGAGTGCCCTAGAATGAAAACTCAAATAGTAAATTACAAGTTTTATGCGGAATTTTTAAAAAGTTTGTCTTAGGTTTTTTAATTTTAAAAAATATCTCATAGCTCAGGTGTTTGGTCTCTCGTTTTCAAAACGGAGAGTAGGATTTGTTAAGACAAACTCATCTTTGATTCATCGAGTTTGCTACAGTAAATATTATTTCATTCCAAATTTACTACAATAAATATTATTTCACTCCTCATGTTGCTACAGTAATTTATTTTGTACTCCCCAAATTGTTATAGTGTATATTCTGTCTTTATTCCCTCTTCTAAAATGTATTATTTTTTTAATTAAATATATCAAATAAATGAAGAAATTAATTAATTTTAATTTTAATTATAAAGAAGTAAATCAACTTAATTAAAATGATATGTAATAAAGTTTTTTTTTCCTATCATATCGTACCATTTTTATTTACTTTTTGTTATCACTATCACACTTGTAAAATACGTTATAATTTTGTATAATTATTTATTTTAATTTTATATCTTCTTTTTAACTTATGAAGTTAATAGTTTTTAAATAAGTATTATTTAAAAGGTTTTCGCTTGTAATAAAATGTAATGTTCAAATAAAAATAAGTGAAATTTAATACTAATGTTGATAATAACCAAGTAATCAATTTTTTTTAGAATAATTAAGTATCAAATTTACTTAAGATAGTAAATAGTGAAAAATTAAATAAATTGTTGATAACATTTTCTCTAGAGTAAAATTTATGTCTAATGAATTTGTATACTCTTGTTTAAACTTTGATAATTACTTCAAAAATATTTTCATAGATAATTGAATATTTATATTAAAAATTAATCATTGGAAAAAAAAATTGGATGCACAAATGTATTAAAAATATTTTACCTATCTTTAAAATAGTATACCTAAATTCATAAGAAAATTGATTTATTTAACCTGAAGTCGAATAATTTAAATGTAATTTAAATTATTTTAATTAAATAATTAGTTTATAAATTATATTTTTTTAAAAGAAAATTATAATTCATCCAATCGAATACAAGTTTAATAAAGCTAGTTTAACAAAATACAAAACACACACTTAACAAACCCAGACTTAATAAACAAACCATGGCAGCGAACCAAACACCCCCTCAAGGTTTAACAGGTTTAATAAATTTTCAATATTATAAATTTTAAGGTGTGTTTGAGAAATCATTTTTTTCATTGTCAAAATTACTTCATTTTATTGATCATATTTGACATATTTAAAAGTTGATTTTTAAAAAATTTAAAATCATTATTATATTGATTTTGAAGGTATCATTTGGACGGTGATTTTTGATGAAAAATCACTCGTTCTATTGTCACTTCCGAACACATCCTTATTTTATTTTAAGTACAACAAGTGAAGATGGAACATTGTGTTGGGTGTGTTGCCCTAAACTCGTAGTTTGTATTTTGTAAAAACAAATGTCTATTTAATAAAGTTTTATTCAATAAATTTGTTGTTGAATCATAGCTTTGCATTATCCAAAATCCAATAAACTAAACATCCAAGGTTATTTGTGATGTAATCGGGACAGTATATATACTGGGTATATAGTTGATATACTGGGTATATATTTGATATACCCCTGATATATGAATGGATAATATCCCGTGAATATAACCTAAAGGGTCTATAGTATATGGATAAGGCTGGGTACCTTATCCTGGCAACACTATGGATACGACCCACTCTGTAAAGGTTACAGACGACTCGATCCAGGTCGTTTGTGTGGAGACATGCGAGTGGGGGTATCCTATACAATNGACCCACTCTGTAAAGGTTACAGACGACTCGATCCAGGTCGTTTGTGTGGAGACATGCGAGTGGGGGTATCCTATACAATGAGTTTGTATAAGACCGAACCGCAAAATAGGCAATCTTTAGGTGTAACACCGTTAACTAATAGGTTGCTATTTCTTAGGATGACTAGGCAACTCATTCACAATCCTGAGTTAGTTATGGACTCCTACCCGTGAGGGCTCGTCCTTTGATTTGTATGGGTGAGAGTGGCCCGAGTCACCGACTCAACCTTCCTACCATTTTTGGGACGAGACCGAGTGGGGAGCTGGGAACATAACTTCACAAGATGGAATTCACTCCTCCCCGACTTTAGGGGAGTAGATGAGTGTTCCCTTAAATGCTGACTCCGGGACTGAACAAGGGGCCCCACCCTTTCATTGGCCGAGAGGGACTTCCGGTTATTGGTTGGACATAACCAGGTTGTTCATTAGAGGAGCAGTGGTGTTTAAGGAGTAAGATGTAACTCAGGGGTAAAACGATAATTTGACCCAATTTGAGTGACGAACACTCGTGAAGGATTAACTCGTCATTAATGGTCATATATCCATGGACACGAAAACATTCTGCAGTGAGAAGAGTGAAACTGCAGGTCTTTAGTGGAATGACCCGTAGTTAACGAATCTAGATTAACTCGGTCAATGAGTTTGACCGATTAATCTTGCATCGTTGGAGCTTCGGATCTGTAGGTCCATTAGGTCCCCTTGCTAGCTCATAACGGGTAAAACGAGGATCAAGTTTTTGGAAGAATTTGAATTGTTCAAATTACTTAAAGGGATTATATGTATATTGATACATTATAATATATAGTTAATTGTGAATTAAAACTATATATTATGAGAGATATTATTTGAATGAGATTCAAATAAAATTAATATGAATAAGATTCATATTAAAACTATAGGTTAAAAATAATGTGCATAAGATGTACATTAAAACTATAGCTTATACGAGAGTAATGTTTTAGAATATGATTCTAATTTTATAATAAATAATTAAGTGTTAATTATTTATGTATATATATATTTATTAATTATTAATTGGATTAATAATTAATTATATTAATTAATTTGATTAATTAATTTTATATATATTAATTATTATATATATATTATTATATATATATTTTAATTATTATTATATATTATAAATATATATATATATATATTAATATTAATATTATTATTAATATTCTTATTAATATTAACCCCCTGCAAAATTGCAGGGGAGTGGGGGGTTGCTGTGACGTGGGGAGTTACCCTACGTCATTATTCTTCTTCTTCACTGTTTTCTGAAAACAAAACAGAACAGTGGAAAAAAAGACATCCCCCAGATCTCTCTCAAGAAGCTCAATCTCTCCCTCTCGTTCCAAAGAATTGCTCCCACCAGCATGATCCTGAGACCCAAGAGGATAGCGAGGAAGACATAATGGTGGTGTTCGAGGGAAACTCGTTGAAGAAACGTTCTTCAAAGGTAAAGTTTCGCTCTGTAGGAGGCTTCGCTCGCTCGCTCTAACGCTCGTTTATACGACAGCGAGTGGAGTGCATAAGCCCCTTTAGAGATAGGGGCGAGTACTACACGAGCTCGTAAGTCAAGTACGGAACGAGCCTTGTCTACGAACTTTAGAGATAGGGGCGACCTCGTCTTGCTTGCTTCTGGCGAAGCTTCTAGCACTAGATAATCGGCATTATTTTATGGTAGGAATACTACTTTTTAGGCCGACCACAATACAAGTCATGAGCGATAGCGAAGCCAAGCCGTATAAAGGCGAGCAGCCCAACTAGCAATAGCAAACGGCCTACTTATAGCCTCTTTTTCCCCTTACTTACTCCCTATTCTCTCTTAAAGCTTGTAAAGCTCATAAAATGGAAATTCTGCACGTTTTCCTCAGCTCAGCTCAAAAGGCAAGGGGAATGAATTCGAGAACTTGATTGACATTGAAAGATATGTGTACCAAACAAGCAATATGCCGATTGATGTACCAGCCAAGCCAGCTCGACCGGGATATTTGATTGGACAGAAGAACAACGGATTGAACAGGATACTTTGTAATTCGATTTTGTATCCCGAAAATCAGCAACGAAAATTCGTTTCCACTCCGGAATTCACATCCCTTCACATTGAACATCTGACATCTAGAAAAAGAACAAAATACATTGAACGTTGAGCTAAGCTCATATGGGCAATAGGTTTAGGTTTAAATATATTTATGATAAAATATTTTTTTGGTCTTTTGAAGTTTGAGCATTAGATCTTCAATTTCGCTCTACCGTATCTTTTGTTTCATTTCTTCTAGAACAGTCACACTTTTTTTTATTATGGATCTACTACCAGAAACACACTTTTCAATTATTTCTGAATAATCTTAGCATTCAATGTGTAATCTTGAATAATCTCATTTTTCAATTATTCAACCATTTCATTTTACCAAGTTCAATATTAGTCAGATTAGTCGGCCCTAGGTTTCAATATCGTATAACTGGGTCCTATTCTTCTTCGACGGAGTTGGTATGACATTGGTTGAAGGGGGTTTGGGAAATGTGTTTATCGAGGAAGGTGAAAATTTTTCTTTGGCATCTCTGTCGGGATCACTAGCTTCCCACGTGTACGACACTTTCTCGACGAGGTGTTTCTGTTCTCAATTTCTGTCAGTTTTGTGGTTTGTTGAGGGACGATGTGTTACATCTTTTTTGGTTCTATAATGTGGTTTGCTCTTTTTGGGTTCAACCAAAGTTTGCCCCATATCAACATCAACGGTCTTTGTTGAGTATGTTCTTTTTTATTATCTAAGTTGCAGGATATTTTGTCGGTCCCATATTTTAAGGAGCTCTCGATTTTCCTTTGGTATCTGGAATTCTCGAAACTGTGTGCATACGTTGGGTGAACATCCAGTTGGTACTATTGGGAGTTGGGCGCCAGACTCTGCGCTCTTATAGGTTTGTTAATCTTCGGCGGCTTGGGGTGGTGGCTCCCAATGGTGATCGTCTTTTATGTCGCTGGCAACCTCCTTAAGATGGTTGGTTCAAGTAAATACAGAGGTCTTCTTCTCTTGGCAGAATCCTTGTCCCTTCGCCATTGCGCTTTAGTCGATTTGGAGAGGCTCTGGCATTTCATCACGGTCTTCTGTTAGCGAGTGAGGCGGGTTTTCGACCCATTATTCTCTAGTTTGACTCTTTTCGATGTTTCCAATCCCTCACTCAGGATATTGAGGATTTGTCTAAGGTGAAGTGCCTTCTTACTGAGATGTTTCATCCACACATCGTGAAAGTAATGCACTAGCTCATAAATTGGCACAAATGGTTGTTCTTCGACATTTGGACCTTATTTGGTTTGAAATGGGTCCTTCTAAAATTTTCAGTTTAATTGCTTCGGATTGTTCTACCTTATTTTCCTAGTTTCGTTTCTTGAAAAGCTTACGCCATCTTTACAAAGATTTAAAATAGCAATTAAAAAGCTTTAAAAAAAAAAAAAAAACTCCCCTGGCCTACCGCACCGCGGCCCCTTACTCTATCGCCGCCAATCCCACTACTCCTTACCCACATCCGTTTAAAATAATAATTTTTTTTGTTTAAATGTTTACGCGAAAGAAAAATAAATTAAAAATTCACTGATATGGACTCTTAATCTCAATTTATTAGTACTAAAAAATTAATTTATTAATAAAAAATTAGGTTAAATAAAATTAAATTATTTACATTAACATTCAATGAAATCCTGTCAAAATCGTCAATCATTTTTTGGCTAGGAATTTTAATTTAAGGAAAAACGTGATTTGATATATATATATATATTTAGTTTAATACCATGCAAGGATAAAGATGCCAACCTTCATGTTTATTGATTGTTAAATTTAACTCAATTTATCTAGTAGCAAGCAAAATAATTCAATTTGAAATCCATGGAGATTAAGTAAATTACATATTTAACCTAATTTTTAGGGTACACTTAATTTTTAATTTAAATCATATTTTCGTCCCTACACGCTCCTATTTATTTCATAATATTTTATTCTGTTTCAAAAATTTCTGTTCTGCAACATTTCTTCCCTTCCCCGCCATTTTTGGTCTGTGTGTTAAGCTTCAGCATCCATGTTCACTCTCAAGCCTCGAGAAGTTGCTCCTCTGAAGTACTCTGTTTTTCCTCTCATCACCATTTCCGACTTCGCCCATATCCATTGCTCCCCCACATTGCTGTCCCTCACAGTCTCCCACAACCCCTCCTCCCCATCCCCTCGCTTCGTCGCCGTTCTCCAGATTCAAGATCCCTTCATCGCCGTCAACTCCTCCAATTTCAATCTCCCGCACCGCACCTCCACGATCTCCACTAAAAGCCTCTTCACGGCTCTGTACGATGTGGCGGCGGCCAGTGGGAGCGGCGACGGCGATCTTTACTTGACCTTTGTTCTTCCCGAGCTCGATTCGGATCCACGCCTCGTGTTCACCACTGGTATGTCGATTTACGGATTAATTGGAAATTCACACGACCGGTGTGTCTCGCTTTCTGCATTTGTCGATTTCTTCCATGGAATCTTGATTCTGATCGAAGCTGAAACGTGTGTTGCGTGTTAATCGGAGGTTTCTTGAGAAGGATTTCAAAAACTAGGGCGTATAACTTTCAAGTTTGTTTATCACTTATTCTAATTATTGAATCAATTTCGAAGTTCAAAGTTATTTTGAAACGTCAAGAACTAAAACCTAAATGTTTAGGAACTAGAATAATTCAATCGAGTTGCGGAAATGAACAAAACCAAATCTCAAATAGGAATTGAAGCACATTTTGATAAGTTTCTTGAAGCCATCGAATTCCAAATTTCCTTTCTACAGTTCAGTTTTTAATTGTTAATACTGATTTCAGGAGGTGGAGATATTCGGTCCCTCTCTCCATTGATGGTGTTACCTCCCCAAATCGGCCAAATCAACTACGAAATGTTCGTCGCAATTCATACAATGGAGTTCAGAAAGATTGTAAGAAAATTCTCTGCCTACAACACAAGTAACTCAATCTCTCCTCCCCTTCATGTTCTTTTCAGTTTACAACATATACGTATAATGTATAGAGTTAAGAAAACCTTCTTATAAGTTCATGAATCTTGTCTTATGCAACAGTCTGGGTTTTTGTATCTACTTCACAAGTGAAGTTTCATGCCACAACCAGGGGGATTCCTCAGGAGATTGCTCTTTCTACAGAGGTAACCTCACATCCTTAAAAGCTAGAGGAAGCTTTTCAAAGTTTTTATTTCTGCATCTCATTTCCGTCTATGAATTTTACGGTTTGTTTCATTTTGATCCCGTCCTAAGCTTTAACGCTATTATTATTTGTCACCTAATATACAATCATTTGACACTAGCTTCACCTAACTTAAATGACTTCAATACATGCCCACATTAACACTTAGCATACTAATACTCGATACATACCCACTGTATAGTTTAACGACTTAATCGAAATTCAAAAGTTCACTAAAATGGAATAATTTAGACAACTGTTAACACTTCCCTCACATGTAAGCAAGCTCGTATGCTAATTTGATACACAAAATTTGAATTCCAACATAAGAGCTACTAATAGGAGACTAACGCAAGACTTTCTCCGTATCATATTAAACTATTAACTACGGTTTGAACCCAAAAATTTAAATGAATAAGTTAGAGCATATATTTGATGTTAAATAATATGAAATGAATTGCAGAGAAGAGAGTGTGTGGTTGGAGGTATTCAAGAAGAAATGGTGTATCCAATCAAACTCAATCCAGTTAATTTTTTCCTCCATTCATCGTCTATGACAAGTTTTGTGTGGCTCTTCAGGTCAACTGATTTGTGCCCTATAATACAGTTCCTTAAAGGAGAATGGGCCAACATTCTGACCTATTATCCCAGAACTGGATTATGTTGATATTCATATTATCTGCCACAATTCTTTCTTTCTTTCTTTCTTTCTTTTTTTTTTTTTGGAAGGATTAGAATGTTAGTAGTTTTTGGTATGGTTTGCTTTTTGTTTGCATATATAGAATGAAGAAAGTTTAGAGTTTATTTTATGTTTGAAACTGGTTTGAGCGGGTACGTATTGAAGTGTCTGCTTGTTCAAAACGACCCAAGTGAATGTGAATTTTAGCTTCTGATATTCTGGTTGAGAATATTTTTAACTAGTTGAGTTATGCTCAAGTTAGCAGGTAGATGATAAGTTGAAGATGAAATCTCATCGTTTAGAGTTTATAATGTTTGTAACAATCTTATTAATTTGTACTTGTTCTAATTGCCATATGAAATCAAATTTCAATATTAAATTATATGATTAGTAAAAAGGGAATCAATTGATTGTTACAATCACACTCTACATTTGGCCAACTTCTCTTCATATGACGAATCAATGAGGATATGATGAATTTTGCATAATACTATGGTAAACAAGACCTTCTCCCTTTTGACCTCTTTCTCCAATTTTAAACACGGCTTCTCTGATATGCATATCCAAAACTACGATTTTGTTTTAAAAACATGGTATAGGTGTAGATACCGTATTTTGTCATGCTAATCCAATTAAACTAAAATGACTTACTAAACTGTAGGGTGTGAAAGTAAATTAGAAAAAATCTTACTAGAATGACTTGTTAAAATTTAGGTTCAAGATTCGAATCTGGATGTGTGAGACTAAAACAATATCCTAATTAAATTTAGATTTTAATATGAGGTAAATTATAATGATAAATTGAATTCCCAATTTGAATTATATTAAAATAATCAAAATTTGGGAGTCGCAAAAAGAACCAAATATCCAAATTAAATCTGATTATTTAATTTTTAATAAGTGTATAATAAGTGACCACTTTAGTGTGAAAATAAATCAAAATTTCATTGAAAAATATTAAGGATAAATAAACCACAATTTTAACTCCCAAACAAGTGGAAAAATTCATCATTAACACGTTAAATTGGAAGGTTTTTTTATCTGACAAAAACTCGCGAGTATTAACCATTTTCTCTCCAAAAAAATCCTCTCTCTCTTCTAAAATTCATCGCTCTCCCTAAAACTAATCTCCTCCCTCTCTTTCATTTCTTAGTTTTTTTAAGCTATTTGTTTTTTACTTCGTCTGTGCCTTCTTTTTGTTTTTTTTTCCTGCTATTAATTTTTTCTTTGGTGCTTTGTTATTTTCTTCGTTAGGGCTTTTTTTTTCTATTAATTATTTGTTCTTTTAATTTTGGTTATTATCAAAACTCAAATTTCTTTTCTACCCAAAAATATTTAAGGTAAAGTAATGGTTGAAAGTTGATTTTGATTAATTTTAAAACAAATCTGACCCATTCTTGTCAAGTATATTACATCAACAGTAAGTATACTAATCATTTATGCAGATGGAGGTATTCTATTGGACCAATGGAGGTTACTTTTGACAATGAGGTAATATATCATATAACAACCATGGTACTATTGTTTTTTTTTTTTAAGAGATACCGGAATCATTTCAATAAGTATGTGAAAAACATACAAAATAGGGGAGGCTAAATGACACCACTTCAATTAAGAGAAATAGAAGATATATATCATAATAAAAAAAAACTTGAATTTGAAAGTCCAAGAGAAAACTAGAACAATAATATCATTCCAAAGATGGCTGAGCGACTTAGAGACATCTGCAAACGTTCTATTGTTCCTTTCCAACCAAACTGTTCATGATATAGAACCCACAACATTGCACCAAAGGATAATTGTTCGGGGTAGGGGATGGAGGAGATAGATGTTGGGGTTCAAGTGCATAGATGGAATTCTCTACTGTAATTTGTCCTATGTATTGATACCATGATAGATGGTACACCATATGAAAAATTTACACTTTTTTGAGAATGAAGGTCCATAATTTAGCAGCAATTGCAGAAATATCAAAACGGAAAATAGTCGATTGAGCATCAATCGCATAAAAACTATAAGTATAAATTAGGGTTTAAAATGTCGATACCAAGAGAACTTTGTTTTTCACCTGTATTGACGAAATGTTGACCTCAACAAAAATATCGATGTCTCAATTTATGGAAATATCGATAAATTATTGACGATGATTATATATTTGTAAAAATTATAAAAAACAAAAAGTTAAATTGATAAATAAGTAGTTTTACATTTTTAAATTAGTTAAAAATTTTAATTATTAATATTATGTTTATATTATTTTATTTTGTTGATATTTTTCAGATTTCGACGATTTTTTTCGATATAATCGTAGCTCTTGCGTGTAATAGAAAGGTAAATCTCGTACAATAAACCTATTTTAATTGAAATCGAGTTTAACATAAGCGATTTCACCATCATATGCGAGAACTAAGCACCGTTATGTTGAAAAAAAATATCCTAGTTTTAGATTTTTTAATTTACATTTTTTTTATAATTACTTTGAAATTTACTCTATTTTATAATTCTTTTAAAACAGATTATATTATTTATTAAATTTGTGCTAGAGAAAAGTAGTGTATATATTTAATTTGGAAATGATTTTTTGAGGTAATTTATTTTTACAATAGTACAAGTTAAATTAGAGGTGAAAATTCGAATGGATGATCTAAAGAGGTTAATAATATCGGTTAATAATATCCGTTATATTTAGGATTATTGAGATGTTTTTGTTTCTAGGTACTAATTCTTTTGGTATTTTATTTGGAAGAAAATTATTAATTTGAGACCTCAATTTTCCAATGCTAACTCAAGAATGGACAAGATATGACATGAAAATTACGTTTCACCCAATTACTTTTCCTACCAACCAATAATGTTGGTTAACTTTTTATTTTCTTTATATATATATATATGGGAGAGGTCCAAGTGTCTCTGAGTGTGTATGTCAATAAGCAAATCAATCTGCAACTAGAAAACTCGACGTTGGTGCGGTGTCCTACATAATACACTCTAACGCTAAAGTCAGTAATTGGAGTAAAGAAAATAGGAATTGACACCTTAAGATTTCAATGATAGGTTTTTCACTTACTTGATGTTGGTGGAGTCTTTTTTTTTTATAATTGTTGTTGACCGATCAAGAAAGACGATGGTTGTGGAACCAGAGGCGCACTGAGCTGTACGAGGTTCTGACGAAGGGGCATAGGCTCCCAACAATCAGTGGGTGGTGCTGTTAACCTGCAGTTTGCAAGTTTCAGGCTGCAGTCCTCGACGTCTCTCTCGTACAGCAATGGTGTCATGAGGCCCGTATGCCACCAAAAAGTATGGTGATAACCATCTGTAGTCCCGCGCCTCGCTGTCGCTCCCGGAATTCGATATGTGTAACACTCGAATTTCTCCCTCGACATATATATATGTATGTATATGTACATATATATTTGTATTTTTTTTAATACAACATGTGGAAATTTAGATTCGAACTCACAACCTTTTAGTCAAAAATAAGTGGCTTAACTAGTTAAGTTATGCTCAAATTGGCGTGTATATATATATATATAGATAATTACTAACTTAACTCTAAACTTTTAAAATTGTGTCAATTAGTTCACTAAACTTTTAAAAAAATATCTAATAAATTGTTAAATTTCCAATTTTATGTCTAAAAGGTTTATGGGTTCAATAAATCTTTCAAGTTTTGTATCTAATAGATCTCTGAATTTTTTATTTTGAGTCTAATATGTCTTTGTCCTTCTCATCATTGAAATTTCAATGTTTTGTCTGATAGGTCTGTGATATTTAAAATTTGTTTAATAGATTAGAGACTTATATACACAAAATTGAAAGTTTGGGGACATTTTATATTTTTAAAGTTCAATTACCTATTGTGACGGGTACATGGATGAACCGATACCACATCCGAATGAGAGTGATTCTAAGCTCATGAAAACATGGTTAAGAAAAGCTTAAAATAATTGTAGTTACTACCTATACCTGTTAAGTATGCCGCTGTTAAAGTATGTCAGAAAATTAGGACCAAATCTGGATTCTGAATCCTGGGCCTAGTTCGTTACACCTACCTAGACACAGATCTTAAAAATTCAAAAACTGAACTTATAATATAGCCTTATTACCATGGACACGTGGAGGACGCTCATTGGTGTTCAAGGAATAAAATATCTCAGGTCCACCTCGAACTTGCCGAGGAGATTGGGTTCGCCCATCGACAAGGCTAAGTGTAAAAAGCCCCGGTTCGACCTGGACGGGTTCGATCTGCTCAAACCCGACAGGTTCGACATAAAAAAGACAAAGGTAACCGCCGGTCATGAGCACTGTCGGACCCGCCACCTATAAATAGAGGGCCTCATTTCACAGACAGGTATCGAATCTCATCTCGAACTTAATATTGTATCCGACTAAAACTGACTTGAGCGTTAGAGAGTTTGCCCTCTTGTGCAGGTTCACTCTTGAGTTCAGGTCGAGCCGGAAGTCGAGTTCGAGCTTGGTTCATAAAACAGTATTGTGCAATTGTTTGCATAAACTACTAGAGAAAATTTGATAATTTAAAAGATTTGATTCTCCTCATCCAATTAGTTATAAATTTGTATCAATCTTCATGGCTTAATTGGTTAAGATATATATCACCGACCAAACTGCCGTAAATGTTATAAACTCAAAATAAATAAATATATAAATTTGTGACAAATTAACTATATATGGTGTCACTCAATGACATAATTGCCTTGAATTTCACTTGTTTTTAAAGGCCACCTTGCTTATATATTTAATTTTAATGGACACCCACTTCCAATTTTAATAGACTTCTTTTAGTCTCCTCTAAATATGAAAATAAGCTTGACTTTCCTCTCACTAACAATAATAAATAGGTTATTCTAATATTCCCTTTAAATTTAATTTCGTTTTCTTAAAATAAGATTTTTGGATTTTAAAAAGTTAAATCACTTTTGTTTCCTAGCTAAAATATAACACATCTCTTTCCATCTTTTCCTTCTTGACTGAGAAACATATATATAATTCATGAAAAGACAATATATCCTTTTCTTGGTGAGATAAATCACCTTATATATTTTTGCCACACTCTACCTTGGGTAGATTAGGTACTAATATATTTTTAT